AACTCATCCATGCAACTGAAACTCATCCATAGTAAAAGATGTTATTGCTGCCATCCTTGCCATTGATAGCTTCAACGCTGCAACTGAGCAACTTCTTACAGTCAAAGACGACTCTGGGTAGGCACTCTGACGCTCAAGTCAGTAATGGAAGGTGGGTGGTTGGGCCGAGCAGTTGAGAGAAACGTGTTGGTCCAAGCAAAGGCAGAATAGCAGTATGAGGGCTGAAGAGTAAAAAATCTGTTACCTTGAGCAGGGGTTACTTATTTATACTCGAAAGTCTGTGTCCTATTTGGATGAGACTTCTAGGATTATCGAGATGAAGTTGTCCGTCGAAGTCTTCAGAATAAGTCCTAATCCCCAACGGAACTGTCTTCCACTATAAATATGGGCCAGCAATAGCAAACATAAACTAGCTCTAGATTGCAACACCTGATTCTGTTTAAATATAATTATGATTTTGCATTTCTGTGACTTTTAGATGATTAAACATGCCATGGATGAGTTCCATTTAATGAATTAACCAGGCTGAATTATATTGTTATTGATTCTGGGTAATAATCCTTATCAAGGAAATACAAAACTGAAGAGTGGGAATGAAGGATTATATCATTGACCAAAAAACAACAGTAACAACAAACATTCTACTACATTTCTTTGGTGACTGTAGGCTTGTTAATGCGGTGTTGTTAATAATTTACCATTTCTTTCAATAAACAAATGGTAAATTAGATGCATAATTCAAGTCTCAAAAACTTCACCATGACAATTGTGGACATCGTTATACTTCTATGGTGTTTACCAAAAAAACATCTATAATTACCCAAGTTTCTTGTTATTTTCTATCACTAACTTGCCTGTATTTAATTTATTGGGGAGTAGTAAGGGAGTATTCCAACAATGAAGATGATCCCAATGTGTATCAGAGTTGGGATGAATTTGATCAAATCAACTGAGCTTGTTCTGAAGAATAGGGTGATCTGGGTCATATCTGATTATGTGAAATATACCTCAGCTGAGGGTATCAACGGCAAGGATGGCAGCGGCGATATCTTTCACTGCAGGAAGTGGCTCAGTTGCAGCGTCGTCAGACGACAGTGAATGGATTTCATGCTATGAAGTCGGTGAGGGTGAAGGGGCGGTGGAGAGGGAGGGGAAGAGAGCAGCAGAATGGAGAGGTAGGTCAGGTTGGAAAAGTATGGATTGGTTCTGATTTTCACTGCAGAGGTATAAACATTCAAAATGTTAAAAACCCTCATTCTATACACCAATGCCCGCCTCTGAATTCACATCAATTCAGAGTTGACACCCACCCCAACTGTACTTCGGGCCTAAAAATTCTGACCCTGGGCTGAACCGTCATTCTCCATTGTTTTTATAAAATTTTGGCATCCATCTGCCTATTAAAATTAAAAGTTCGTTAGTTTTAAATTAATTTGGAGAAGGTGACATGTTTGAACAGGATTGGGCGGGACAGAATTTTTCGACCCCAATACTCGTCCCTCATATGCTCCAAACTAGGATGACTTCGAGGCCCATCATGTGGGCCATCTTGTAAAGCCAGAAGTCACTGTGTTCTGACATGGACACTAATTAAGTGTTTGTATGGCATGGTTGCCGTTGCTCCAGAAAACAGCACCACATTAGCGCCACGTCGAAAAAAATGATGCTCTAGGAAATAGGTGTTTGTTTGGAACCGTTTTTCCATAAAAAAAATGTCTCTCCAAGCCATGTCTTGAAAATCGGAAAGGCATGGCTTGGAGCAATGCCAAATTTGGCATTTCCTAAAGCTGCAGCTCGTTGCTGTCAGCAGGGATGTATGGTGGCATTGGATAATGGGTACCGGTGCTGAAAACGTTTGCTGGAGCATTGGTACCAAATAGAAAACGTTGCTGTTGCTCTGGGAAACATCCTACCTGGCAGCAACGATTCTAAACAAAAAAAGACATAATTTTCTCAGAAAACGGTGCTTCAAACCCATACATCAGCAGCACTGTTTTCTCATCTGCAGCATCGATGCCAAACATATACTAAAACTGTAAAATATATATGCAGGTTTCTAACTTTTCAATTTTCACCAAACACAACATTTATGATTTCCATAGGAGACCCACGTTACAGAGTCAAAGCCTGTGTGAATACCCTTGCAATAGGCACACTATAGTAACTGTGATTGTTGGTGTTGATGCTATATGGGTGATCATTTTAGAACGACCCGGCCCAGCCCACACAAGCAAGAGGTGGAAGAAAGGGGAGTTGTAGTGTTACATTGTTTTGGGCAGGATATTGAAGATAGTCAACCATTTTGGCCTTGTTCGCTTTTCGATAAGTTACTTACCTAGGTAAATGTAGTTACTTGGATAAGTTTTTCTTGGGAAATACTTACCCGCGTAATTGCATTTACCCATGTTCTTTTATTTCATGTAAATAAGGCAATGACCATTTTAGCCATAAAAATTCATTATTAAAAGGGGCATTTTTGTCCCATTCAAGTGTTGGCAACTTTCCCCCTAGGTGAAAAAGTTATTTACCCACTTAGATGATGGGGGTAAGTGGTACCCAGGAAAATAAACTTCCCTGATCTCCACATAAATCGAAAAAAAGAACATGGGATTTTTGGTCAATGGGAACCAAAATCCCATTGACCAACTTGCTCCCCTCTCAAAATCTGAGAAAAGAACACCCCTTTGAGTGACCTAATTGCCATTAAATCTATACTATTATTAAAAGTGTGAATGAGAGTGTGAAACTTTTGTTTGACTAAAATACCCCCATTTTTGAATTTGTTCATAATTTGAATGACCACTTTCCTCCTCATTTATATCTCTCTCATTAAATCTTATATTTAAAGTATTAACTCCAATTAACATTCATTGAATCTTGTTCTTGATTAGAATACCCCCTTTTTGAATTTGTCCCATTTCTAATTGTGAGGGCACAAAATGTAATTTGAACTAGTACATTTATTCTTGTTCAAATTTCTATCATCAAATCTTATATTTAGTGTATTAACTCACATTCTCTCATTGAATTCTATATCTAAGTTATTCTTTTAAAAAATAAATTATATCAATTTGATTTATATCCAATGATTTTGTAGATTTAAAATACACGCTTTTTAAAATTGACCCCAAAAATGAAATTATTCTTCCATCTTGGTGGCAAGTATGCAATTCAACCATCTGGGTCAAATGGGTCAATCCATGATGTAATAATTAAATAAAAACTTTTAAAATAGAAATAAATAAAAATATAGAAATATTTGCATATCTCTTATGTTTTATATTAATCATATAAAAGGAAAATAAGAGTGATAAATAATAATTATTCTTATTAATGTTGGAATGAAATATAAATTTAAAACCAACTTAAAAATATATTTACGTGGTGGAAGTCAACAATTCAACCTTTTGAGCCAAATTGTCAACCCTTGATATCATAATTAGGTAAAAAAAATGAAAAAAGAAAGACAAAAAACACAAAACATTATGTAATAATACAGAAGTTTTATAAAAAAAAATTAAGCACTCATCTAATATTTTATATAAATCACATTAAAGAAAAATAATTGTGATAAAAATGGTTGCTTTTATTGATGTTTGAAATAAAATATAAAATTTAATACTTACCCAAAAATTAAATTGTTTTCCTCATAGTAGGTAAATGGTTCAACCTTTTGGGTCATGTGTTAACCCTTGTTCTCCTTATTAAATAATAAAAATAAAAAGAATTATAAAATATAAAAAATTATGAAAAAATATAAAAACATTGTAAAAAGCATTTGGACACATCTCTAATATCTTATACTAATCATATGAAAAATCAAATATGGCAAACAATTTTTTTAATTTTTTCTTGATAATGGAAATAAAACACAAAATTCAAAACTAACTCAAAAGTGAAATTGTTTTCCTTTTCAAGTCAAATGTGTCAACCCATGAAATCATAAATTAAATAATAAAAAAATAAAAAGATATACAAAAATATATATAAATTATGTAGAAATCATTTGGGCACTCTAATACTTTATATTAATTAACCATATTAACAAAAAATAATTGTCACAAAGAATAATTATTTTTATTGATAATAGAAATAAAATACAAATTTAAACCAACCTGAAAATGTAATTCGTTTCCTATTTGGTGGTGAGCCAACAATTCAGCATTTTGGATCAAATGTATCAACCCTTGATGTCATAATTAAATAATAATAAAAATTAAAAAAATGAAAACACACAAAAGTATAAAAATACAAAAAAAATGATAAAAAAACATTTGGCACATAGATAATATTATTTTTTTATCACATTAAACAAAAATAAATGTGACAAAGTAAAAGTAAATTTTAAACACATAGAAATATAAAAAATTATTAAACATTTTAAAAACATATTATTTAGTATCATTGTCTATTAAAACTTTTAAGATGAGGTGGTGAAAAATAATTGAAGGGTTGATATAAAAGGAGGGTCCATATATAAAATGCGAATTAAGTAATAAGGTATCAACCGAGCCGTCCTGAATCCTGATCAAGCAGTACTGGTAGTGTTTGATAAAAAATGGTGAGCCATGTGTTTATTTGTGAACTGAACGGCGCACCAATAATCCTGATAGAGCTGCTCACATCAATCTCGCATACAGTCATGCATACACATTGAGCCGTGCATTAAGGAACCTATCTCCCAAAATCAAAATCCCCCCGGGTCAAATGCTGATACATAAGAACTCAAAACAACGAGAGACCTACGAACAAGGAATGACCCCTTCTGTACCGCTTTTGACATCCCTGTTGAATTCTCATAAACTGTTTTTTACCCTCTCAAATTTGGTATTGTTGTTCTTCTATGATTAGTAAATTTATAGATCCTTCAATTCCCATCTCCGATCCAAAACTGTGTTTTTAAATTGAATATATGCGCAATACATTCATGCACACACTTTCAGAACTTTCTTATTCTTTTCTTTTCTGAAGGAGATTGGTTGGTTTATAGAGAAGCAAACATGCCAGCGGTGATAGTTGTAAGCGGCAGGGAATTTCAGGAGTTCGAAGGGAAGTTGACGTTCTATGTGATCCTATGTGCAATTATTGCAGCCTTTGGAGGTTTAGTGTTCGGTTACGACATTGGAATTTCAGGTAAGTATATATATATCATCAGTCATCGCTTAATCGATCAAGTGATATCATTAGTCATCGCTTAATTAGTTAAAAATTAAGGAAGTGGAAGAATTAAATTAAGGAGCTAAAAATTAATGATTTCTGATCTGTAAACTTTATTATATTCATTTCTGAGTAGATGCATTATGTTGTGTTAATTTATGTATATTTTTTAATGGGATTACAGGTGGAGTATCGTCTATGGATGATTTCTTGGAAGAATTCTTCCCAGCTGTATATCGTAGGAAAAAGAGCGTTCAAGAAAACAACTACTGCAAATATGATGACCAGTACCTTCAGCTCTTCACGTCATCCTTGTACCTTGCTGCCCTTGTAGCGAGCTTCATTGCTTCCGAAGTGTGCACAAGATATGGACGGAGGCCCACCATCATGATTGCGTCCTTGTTCGTTTTGATAGGAGTCGTTCTGAATGCAGCTGGTACAAATATCGCCATGTTAATTATTGGAAGGATTTCTCTCGGCTTCGGTGTTGGATTTGCTAATCAGGTTATCTCCTCTAATTAATTAATTTGCCAATCTGTCGATCGGCTTCTCGGCTGCATGAGTTTGCAGAGCTAGCGATCGAGCCGAAGAGTCGGTCAGTGAGTGAGTATAGCTAATATATATTTACGAAGATAATCAACCCATAAAATTTGCAGGCAGTTCCTCTATTCCTCTCAGAAATTGCTCCCGCCAGAATCCGTGGGGCGCTCAACATCCTCTTCCAACTCTTGATAACAATCGGCATCTTGATTGCAAACCTGGTTAACTACTTCATGTCGAATGTCCACCCTTACGGATGGAGAATCTCGTTGGGCCTGACAGGTGTACCAGCTATTATTCTGTGCTTGGGTTCTTTGGTCATAACAGAGACCCCCACCAGCCTCATCGAGCGTGAGAGATTCGAAGAGGGGAAAGAGACGCTAAAGAAGATCAGAGGTACTGACAACGTTGATGATGAGTTTGATCAGATTCTAGCTGCTAGCGATATGGCCCGACAGGTCAAGAGTCCATACAAGAAGCTCATGAAGCGCTCTAGTCGGCCACCATTGGTCATTGCTATACTCTTACAGATCTTTCAACAGTTCACTGGAATCAACGCTATAATGTTCTACGCACCCGTTCTCTTTCAGACGGTCGGATTCAAGAACGACGCTTCATTGCTCTCATCGGTCATCACAGGCCTTGTGAATGTGTTAAGCACGATGGTTTCCATCTACTTGGTTGACAGGGCCGGCAGGAGGGTTCTGCTCCTTCAAGCATCAGTTCAAATGTTCATTACACAGGTGATCCGCCCGGCCGATATGATTATCAAATTCAACATTTTATCAATGAAATATGATTAATTCATATATATAACCGAAAGGATAGAAAAAAGATCTAGTGGTATCACATTCACATAATCACATTTGTTTTCTGACGTAGGATTTGTTTTCGATATGTTCACTTGCAGGCTATAATTGGGGCCATTCTAACGATGGACTTATCGGCTACAGGCAGCCTTGGACGCACTGAAGCAGCCATTGTAGTGGTACTAGTTTGCTTATTCGTTATGAGCTTTGCATGGTCGTGGGGACCTTTGGGATGGTTGATTCCAAGCGAAACCTTCCCTCTGGAGACAAGAACATCAGGATTTGCCTTCGCTGTGAGCTCCAACATGCTCTGTACCTTCATCATAGCACAGGCTTTCTTGTCCATGTTGTGCACCATGCAAGCTGGCATCTTCTTCTTCTTTGCCGTGTGGATACTGATCATGGGCTTATTTGCCTTCTTCCTGTTGCCTGAGACAAAGAGCATTCCTGTGGATGAGATGACCAAAAGAGTTTGGAAGCAACATTGGTACTGGAGAAGGTACATGGGTGAAGATGATCCAGATGAAGATGTTAGACAGCGGAAACTTGAAATGGGGTCTTCTTAATTAATCCTAAAAACCCTACGTGATGGGTCTCCCCTTCATCACTGCAAATTGCAAATCCCCATTTGTACCGGCGGATTTATTTTGCACCTTCTTTCTTAACTCTTGTTTAAGAAAAATGTAATCTCCTTTAATTGGAGTCTTATCCAATAATCTCTCTTTCTCTCTCTTCATTATTTGGAAAGATTTGTTGGATATTGGACGGTGTTGATCCAGAGGATCCGCTCTCTCAACTTCCTAGCAGTCCTACTCCTACTCCTACTCGGGAAGAAATAAAAATGGATAATATGCGATTTTAGTGTTTTTGGATTTGTTAGAAGATACGTATACGATAGACCTAACTAAGAAACCTTCCTAATTCTATAGTTACTCTCTTTCTCAAAAAAGAAATTAAGAAACCTTCCTAAGTGAAAGGGAGAGCCAAGGAACTAATTAAATGACCTTACCATAATAATCCATCCATTCGTCTCTTTTTCTTTTTAATATATATATACGATACAATTCTCCACAATTAACCCCACCTCTTCTTCCTCTTCGTCTTCTTCCTCTGTCTCGCTTTTTGAGAAGCAATCATGACTGCCACCGAATTTCAGACTGTAGACAGCGGCAACCTGCCGGAATTCAAATCAAAATCCACTCTCTACGTGATAATCTGTTATTTTATTGCGGCTTGTGGAGGTCTTATGTTTGGTTACGATATTGGGATTTCAGGTACTCCACTCCTCCCCTTCTTCTTCTTCTTCGGATGAGATTTTGCAAAAATCAAGTCTGAGATACAGTGTAGAGATAATGATGATATGATCTCGAGCAATATACTATCGATACAAATCTCCATGATCCATCTATTCCTCCATTAAATCTAAAGCTGTATTTGGTTTGAAAGAAAAGATGGGGAAAGGAAGGGAAAGATAAGAAAACCCATACAAGGTCTGCACAGATTTCCCTGCCTTTCCATTCCTTTCCCTACATTATCCTTCAAACCAAATATAGCCTAAATGAACGCTGAATCTCAGAATTTCTGCACTAGAAATATATAGAACTATAGATCTGGATATATATAATGATAGTATTGTACGAGTAGCAACCAAAAATTCTGTTCCTTCTCCAAAACTGTGTCTGCCCTCGTACTATGTCAAGACGGTAGGGTTTAGGGGTGTCAATTGGACTGGATTTGGTCCAACCCGATCTAGTCCAATGTGAGTCCTTTATAAATGACTAGTTTCAATCCAATCCAATGAATGTTTTGGATCAATTTGGACTGGTCCAATTTAATGTCTGACTTGTCTATTCTATTCAAATTCATTTTGATTTAGATTGGTTTAATGCAAACCTGGTCCATTGACACATATATTCTTGTCTTATATCAATGAATCAGATATTGGCTTAATCCAACCCGATCCATATAAATTTGTTACAGATGGACCAGCTTCAATTCAATTTAATAAATATTTTAGACCGGATTGGTCCAATCCAATGTCTTGTTGGTCTGTCCAATCCATCCAAATTGATTTTGGACAGGATGGGTCCAATCCAAAATCAGTCTATTGACACTCTTAATAGGGTTCACAGTCAATCAATCGGATTCAGATGAGGTAGGCATGAAGTTGTAAGCACGTTCAATGAGCACTTGTCAATTTTTTTGACACATGTCCTTTAAAATGCCCTCACCCACCTTTGAAAAATATTAATACCCACTTTTGATAGTTGTCAAAATATTTATCAAGTGCTCATTTAACGTACTTACTTTGACGTGCCTACTAAATCCAATCTCCAATCAGTCATAACAGACGCCACCATATTAGGGTCAAATCCAAAACAGGTCCATTGACACTCTTGTGGATGATGAGATGGTGGTGCTCGTCGGAGTTATTCCCACTAGCCCCAAATCCCAATGGTTAATTAGCATTAATTATTTTTCTTAAAAGAAAAAAAAATTATTACTGCATATGTTTCTTTCTTATATTTCTTCTTATATTCCTATGTGTGAGCATATATATACAGATTTATGGATCAATTGTCTTCTCCCTAAGACATGTGGCTAGGCTTCCCACTCAAAAACAGGGACTATGTAACGAGTGATATGGCCATATGGGGTCTGCTCTAGGTTTAGCAGCAAACTGGCCATCTCGATACTTATGGGTTATTTGGTTTTTCCTCAGAAAATGCCTTTTTTCGACCCTTACTCCTCCCATTCTCAATTAAAGCTTTTACTTACAATGTAGGCCCTGTTCGTTTTTCGGTAAGTTATTTACTCGTGTAAATGCAATTACATAGGTAAGTTTTCCTAAGAAATATTTACCCAGGTAAGTGTATTTACCCATGTTTTTTTATTTCTCAAGTAAAAAAGAAAGAAATTACTATTTTAGCAATAAAAATCCATTATTAAAAGAGTTATTTTTGTCCCATTCAAGTGTGGAAAGCTTTCCTCTAGGTGAGAAAGTTATTTACCCACCTAGGAGATGATACACAGGAAAACAAACTTTCCCTAATCCCCACATTAATCTGAAAAAAAAAACATGGGATTCTTGGTCAATGAGAATCAAAATCTCATTGACCAACTTTCCCCCTCTCAAAATCCAATAAAAGAACACCCCCTTAATGATTTACTGCAAATTCTGTTTGTTTTAATATCATTGTGCTGAGCATTCTACAAAGTTCTGAATCTGAGAAACATTTTGGTTTATCAAGATAAAGTCCAAATTTATCAAAAATTGAAGAGGCTTGGGATTGGATTCTCTGATATGATATGATTCTGTAAATTAGGGTCATTAATTAACACAAATCCATCTTTTCTCTCTCTCACTCTGCTCCACTATACTATGTTTGGTTTGAAGGAAAAGGAAGGGAAAGATAGGGAAACCTATACATGATTTGTAAATGTTTCCCTACCTTTCCCTACTTTTTCCTTCGAACCAAACACAGCCTAATTGAATGAGAATAAAACTAATCATATCCTCCCCCCCCCCCCCTTGGTTTGGTCTTGGTTTTAGGTGGGGTGACATCTATGGATGACTTCTTGGAAAAATTCTTCCCGACCGTTTATAGAAGGAAACTTCAAGCCCACGAGGATAACTACTGCAAATATGATAATCAATATCTTCAGCTTTTCACATCTTCTTTATACCTTGCTGCTCTCCTCTCCAGCTTTGTTGCATCGAAGGTATGTTCCATACTTGGGCGGAGGCCAGCAATGATGCTCGGATCAATCTTCTTCCTCATTGGAGCCATCTTAAATGCGGCAGCAGAAAACCTGTTGATGCTAATCCTAGGGAGGATTCTTCTTGGCATTGGGGTTGGGTTTTGTAATGAGGTATACACGAACAGTTACGTAATTTTCTCTTTTGTTTTTAACAGATTTAGTATCAGTAGATCATCTTCAGCTGTTATACAAGTTGGAAAGACCTGATCCCAACCTCTTTATGAACACTCATCTGCAATGGCTTCTTCATGACTTTTGCAGGCAGTTCCTCTATACTTGTCTGAAGTAGCCCCAGTCAAAGTAAGGGGTGCAGTGAACATAATGTTCCAACTCTTCGTTACAATCGGGATTTTTATTGCAAATCTAGTAAACTACTTCACTTCGAAGATGCACCCTTCAGGCTGGAGAGTATCTTTGGGTATTGCAGGCGTACCAGCCTCTGTTTTATTGTTGGGTTCCTTCTTCATTACTGAGACTCCCACCAGCCTCATACAGCGTCAGCAGCTTGAAAAGGGGAAAGCAACACTTGAGAAGGTGAGGGGTGTTGTGGATGTTGATGCTGAGTTCGATCAAATTGTAATTGCTGCAGAGAAGGCCCGACAAGTGAAGCATCCATTCAGAAAGCTCATGTCCCGCTCAAACCGACCTCCGCTGGTCATTGGCATTCTGTTGCAGGTGTTTCAACAGTTAACAGGAATTAATGCTATAATGTTCTACGCTCCGGTACTATTCCAGTCCGTCGGCTTCAAGAACGATGCTTCATTGTTCTCCTCGGTCATCACTGGGCTTGTGAACGTATTAAGCACCATTGTCTCAATTGTACTGGTAGATAGGTGTGGAAGGAAAGTTTTACTTCTTGAAGCTTGCGTCCAGATGCTCATTGCACAGGTATATTGATATAATACCCAATAAATATAATTTATAGACATTTTTGTTAGATTAAACGACCGACCAGCTGATCAGGATTGTGTGTGTGTGTGTGATGTAGAGCATAATAGGGGGTCTCCTAGAAGCGCACTTGAAAACATATGCAGACACACTTGGACGAGGGGAATCGTTTGTGGTGGTGTTTCTGGTGTGTTTTTATGTAATGGGGTTCGCATGGTCATGGGGACCTCTGGGTTGGTTGATTCCAAGTGAAACCTTCCCCGTGGAGACCAGAACAGCAGGGTTTGCTTTTGCAGTTAGCTCCAACATGCTCTTCACATTCGTTATCGCGCAAGCATTCTTGTCCATGTTGTGTCGTATGCGGGCTGCTATCTTCTTCTTCTTTGCTGGGTGGATCGTGGTCATGGGTTTATTTGTGCTCTTTCTCTTGCCGGAGACCAAGAAGGTACCCATTGATGTCATGGTCGACAGGGTTTGGAAGAAACACTGGTATTGGAAGAGATTCATGATGGGTGATGGTGACGACGACGACAAGCACAGAAATGTAGAACTTGGGTTATAGTTTATGATCGGTTCCCAACTTCTATTTATTTTATTTGTTTTTGTTTGTGGACTGGACAAGTAGTTACTTTAACCCAATTAGCACGCATAGCTAGACATGTTTGATTTACCAGTATTAATTTCAAAGTTGTACTGTTTTAAATTTGGGTTATGAAGTGGGAATATTACTATGCTATGTGGGTGGTGCATTGTTCTAAATCTAGTGGATCTGTTGGGTTGGATCTAAGTCCATTATATATTCAAAGGGAAAGGAAAATTACAAAATGAAAACAAAAAGTTTGATGGGTTTGATATGTCTTGTGTTTCTTTATGGGGCCCTCATTAACTCATTTGGGCCTTGGACCTAGACACACCAGTTGGGCCCTTCCGAGCAAACCCAGGAGGCCCTCGGGCACCACATACACTTTCTTTAATCTTTGTGGATTTTGCACTACGGAAGCCTCTAGTTTTACCAGTATTGATATATCAACTCTATATTGATGAGGGTAGAATGTGGGTTTGGACCGTCTGGTGAGATGAGGTTATCTCCTGAAATGAGATTAGTCTAGACTCTAGTAGGCTGACAGTGGGTCAAACTGCCCATATAATTCAGTCTGCATATGTCTAGATCCGACTGGGGGACTCTGGGCCCTGTTTTGCAAATACAGAAGTTATAGTTGGTTGGTGCAGGATCCAACCATTATTTTGGTCCACAAAATTCAATTAAAATTGATAAAGATAGAGGGTCTTCTTATTTATCATCCTCTCCAAATTATGTTCTTCACTTGCTACACTTAACCCTTAGAAGGCTAAAATTGTATACAGTGATCTTGGTCTGGATATGGGTGATGGTGTAGAATTCAGTCAATTCACGGTTATTGCACATTACATCTTTGTCCCCATTGTCATATCATGCAGTTCTGATTAATTGATTTTTTAATAATATATTAGCAGGGACCCGTGCGATGCATGGGAAAATCTGAAAGATTTAATAATTTTATTTTTCATTTAATATTGATTTATAAAAATAATTATTGTTAATTGAATATGAATAAATATTTTTTAATAAATTTAGTTTTATTAATAATTTATAGTAATTTTAATAATTTTTATTCTTTTTATTATTTTTAAATGAAATTTTGATTAACTTTAAATAAATAAAAATAATTATAAAAACTAACATTTTTATTAATTCCACTAATAATTAACAATTATATAGGAATGACAACGGGGTGGGTTTAGGGCAGGGTACCCCATCCCTTTCCCTGCCCCATAGTCAAGACACTTTACCCCACCCCCGCCCTGTCCCCTGTGTCACGTGGGTTCAGGGCAAGGTAATCACTCCTCAATGTCGGGCGAGTTTAGGGGCAAGGCACCCCACTCCGAGGATCCTCGAATTTCCCTGCCCCGTCCCCAATATTGGGCGGGTTCAAGTTGAGGTGTAAATTGGGTTGTGCTGGGTCAGCACGACACGACCCGCATGTGACCCGCACAAACTGTGAGTCGTGCCATGTTGGCCCACGAGGCGTCCCGAGCCATGCCTCCCTCCTCTAGGATAATTTGGGGGTCGGTTTGGCACGGGACCATGCCATGCCGTGGGTTGGGCAGGTCCATGGGCTGGGCCTTGGGCCAGGCCATGCTACACACTAAGCCAAGCACAAGGCAAGTTACCTGCTCCCCATCTAAGGTTTTTAAAATTGGACCAGATAGGGAACCGTTCTGAGGTCCAATGGTCCGAACGGATGACATGTTTGACAAAAAAATTAGAAAAACAAAAAAAAGGACAAAAACGGTTGTCTAGGTTGATGGATCGACTGCTCAAGTCAATAGTTCGCTAACCAAATAAACAGTTTTTTGACAAAAAGCGGTTTTGAGGTGAAACAGTGTCCGGTTCCCAATTTTTTTGGTCTAACCATTTGATTTGATCTAGTTTTGAAAATACTATCCCGTCAACCCAATATTCAATTTGATGATAGAAATGATCAAAATGATATATTGAGTATCAACCACATGGTAAATTTCTATTATTGTTGATTGAAAGATTTAATACATTTCCATTCAGTTGGACCTCAATCCCCATCCCCGACCCCGACCTCGATCGGGGATTACTATTAATCCTCGCCCCCGCCCTCGCCCCGCCAAAACAATCCCCATCCCCAGCCCCATTGGGTCGGGGAAGTCAGGTCCCCGTCGGGGATGGGGAAATTGTCATCCGTAAAAGTGTGTTCTAATAAATGACCCTAATAGAAACACATAAGAGTATACAATTGTTTTATATTTTTAACTTTTTAAATAATTAATAATTATTCATATTTTATATATTACTTATAATAAATGTTTTATAATACAATAATAATAATAATAATAATAATAATAATAATAATAATAATAATAATAATAATAATAATAATAATAATAATAATAATAATAATTAATTTCAATTAGGTTTATTTATCAAACTGATGAAACCAACCAACCCAATTAACTCGACCCGAGTTGGTCGGTTTTCTAGTATTATAGGTTGGCTTTGGTTAAAAAATTTCCCAATTCAACCAATTTGGATCAGTTCCACTTCAGCCATTTGTAAACCGACCAAAATCGAATGACCTAACCATGGATATATATTAATATTTTATATTTTAAATATAATTATTAATATGAAAAAGTGGGAATTTTCCCATATTTCTTAGTCTAAAATGTTTAATATCATAAATCTATTTTTTAAATTTATTATTTAAATAATTACACTATAATTTTTAAAATTAAATTAAATTTTTAAGTTTAAATCTTTTGAACAGACTGACCAAACCAATACAACTTAAGTGGGTCAGTTTTCACAAAAAGTTAGTCGATTTCAGCTAACCAACTCCCTAACCTGACCAGGTCAATTTGGTTGATCAAATAGCCTACGACTACATTAAACCAACTCATGAACACTCATAATTTCAACTAAATTAATAGTCTTATCTCTAATAAATAACAATAGTTTAATCTCCAATAATTATTGAAAATTTTTAGCAAAAATGCACAATTATTGAAAATATATATAATGAAAACTACAATAATTACAAAAATACAATAAGTATGAAAAATATATTAACTTAGTCAATAAATAGAATAATCTTCAATAATAGTTTAATCTCTACTAAATATTAACCAATAACTTATAACATAAATACAATAAGTACAATAAATTAAATTTAAAAATTTCACAATAGCAATTTAATCTCCAATAATTATTGAAAATTTTCTATTAAATAACTAAAAAAAATATACTTATACATACTTATTGAAAATACATTTATCACAAAAGACGTTAAATATTAATTTTAGTATATATAATTATATAAAAAAATATAGATAAAGAGTTTAAAATTATTATTAATAAATATTATTTTTTTGAAAGTTATTTTCTCGAATTATTACTTGATATAAGTGAAATTAATTATTTAGAATATTATGTAAAAATATTAAACTATTATTAATTTCAATATTATGTTATAATTATTTTTTTACTTTTTAGATTTTTTTTAAATTTATTTATTTTAACTATTTAAAATCTAGTTATGTTAAATATTTTGTTATTTAAAATATTTAGTTATTTAAATACTTAAATAATATGTAAAATATTTAAGTTTTAAAATTTTAATTGTTTATTGAATTTAATTATCCATAAAATTATAATTTATACTATGATTACATAATTTCATTATTAAATTTGTAATATATTAAATTATTATTACTTTAACTATTATGTTGTAATTATTTTTCTACTTTGAAGAAAATTTTTAAATTTATTACATAATTTCGTTATTTTAACTATTTAAAATCTAGTTGTGATAAATATTTAGTTATTTAAATATTTAAATTTTTTTATTTGAATTTTATTTATTTAAAGCTATTACATATTATTAATTATTTAAAAAACATTTAAATTGATAATTTAGAACAACATAATTTAAATTGTTATTATATAATTTCGTGATATATTTTGTGAAAATATAAAATTATTTTTTGTGTTTTTAATAAATATTTTAAAGTTATTTTATAATTTTGTTAGAATATTTAAATAATTGTTAATTTTTTAATTAAAAATTTCTTTAGATAGATATAAATAAAAAGTAGGGGAGAGGATAAATAGGAATTAGAGATAATTTAGGAGAGAAACTCTCTACTAAATTAGAGAAAATTTTGGAGATAAATAGGAATTAGAGATAATTTTGGAGAAAGTGGGGGAGGTAGTTTAGAAGTAATTTTAGTAGAAGAGATTATTTAGGTTATTGAGAAAGTGATTCTCATTGGTTGTTTCAAAAAATGACATGGAATTAAAAAAAGAAAAAGAAAAATAGATAAATAGTTTCTCTCAAAGGAGAGACATATATATATATATATATATATATATATAGATTTTCAAATTGCCCGCGAAGCAACCCAAAACTTGCTCCAACTGACCCACTCATGGATCAACTCGATTTGATGGCTTTCTGAGTCGATTCCGCTCTAAATCCATTGTGTGTTGGTGGAATTGGGATTTGCTCCTCACATAGTTCACGGACCTATCTTTGTCTCTATATCAACATAAATCATTCATGCACGAGCTCAAGCTCGGTCCTCATATAAAGCCCAAAGCTCGGGCCTAAGCCTTAGCCTAGTGAGAAATTTGAAAACAATTTTTTTCTTTTCTTAGTCAATAAAAATATTTTATATACATTAAAAGTCCTCAAAAATTAAAAATAATAAAAGATTTCATTATTACTTGAAAAAAGAGAAGACAAACAAAGAAAAAATATTGTCTATATATTTTTCATTAAATAAAACATATTTTTTATTATATAATATATATTATCAAGTTGGGCTTGGGCTGGAAGTTTTTGAGAAAGTTCCAGCCCATCTCGAAAAAAAGGTTGGATCTGGTGTTTTAGGGCCGAATCCAAGCCCACAAGCCTAAAGCTATGTCTAAGCCTAAATTAGAACGGGTTGGGCCGGGCCGGTCTGTCGGGCTACCCGGCCCATGAATAGGTC